TTTTCTAGGGCAAAGGCAGACCAAGTTCATTTGCACAGCACCTTTCAACAAGGCAATTTAATAAAGAAAAAAAGAAACACAAGGCAATATAAAAAGATGCAAATAAAAAAAAAAAAAATAGATGATATAAGTAAGCTAAAACTGCATAAAACAGATGAGAAAACAGGATGCTGCTTTTCTGTGTGAGCATCCGAGAATTCTGGACGGCTCAAACTTAACAGCAAATCATACGTACTTTTGCATTCAGTGCTTTAAAAAAATAAACAGGAAGCCTGCGTAAAGACTGATAACATACTCCACCCCTTCACATTCTCTCTCTCTCTCTCCCTCTTTCTCTCACACCCACACCCAAATACATACAGCAGCAAGACACAAAAGCAGAAGTTAGTGCTTCTCACTCAAATTTTTGCTTCATCACCTTATGCACATTATTTTTGTCTGTGCCAAGTGCTTACTGATGAAAGCTGTGGTGGCTTGCATTGTGTCGACACAGGTGAAAGAGAGAGAAAGAGGTGCATCATTAAAATGCACACAGGTAACGGCTTTGATGGATTCTCAACAAGGGGGGACTGCCGGAAAGAGTAACACTCCAGTGGACCAGCAGGTGTCAGTGTAAACCCAACAGTCAAGCCTAAAGGTGGCATTTGCATCCTCACTGTGGGGTAAAAAGACAACATGAAGTTGTATTTCTCAGTATTTGTAGAAACAGGGGCATTTGGTCATGACGCAAAAACACTCTCTGGAGTTTGGCACCTCATGTTACACCATGTGACAGCCTCACTTGTTTGGTAACTTCTGCTTTGGTTGCTTTCTCTTTTTCTTTAGGTCTGCACAAAGTTCAGTTTTCTTCTCTTCCACTCTACTAGACGTTTCTGAATTTTAAATGAATAGATAAAGTTAGGCGAGCTTTATTTAATCCGGAAGTTGGTTTTGCATTTCATTCCAGTAGTTAAGTGTGTCATGGTTTTGAAACTTCCTCAATCACGTTGTTAAATGGTCCAGTAGGCCGGGGAGTCACAGCTGATCCCCATACAGCAGACAGTTACAGCGGAGGACCAGCTTCATTTTGAATGAGAGGCTTCATTCAGCTTCTTCCTTCTGAATGGAGGGTTATAGTCTCAAGGTGTAGAACAAAGCAATAAAAAAAAAGATTCATTCCAGCAGCTATCATTCATATCAACATGTTGTAGTAACGTGACACCGATTTTTTTCTTGTTTTAAGCTTAATTATACCAGTAGTTATTTGTTTCAAGTTTTTTTTTACTGATCTCTCTTTTTAAGGCCTGATTTTTGGAGCCTGAAGCACTTTTATCTTAATACTTTATTGTTTATCATTTATTATGTTTGTTGTTTTGATATTTTTGTCAAGAGGAGTGCCTTGTCTTTTACATCTGTGACTTGTCATTGTCATATTGAGTAATAAATCAAAATAGCATCTTCGTCTAGCAATGGTAGGTTGTGGTTTTGGGGAAAAGGCAGTTGAGTAAGCAGACAGGATATCTCTATAACCAACCATAGAAAGCACAGTGGACTGAATTATCAAGCTCTGGTATAAGAACCAAGTTTGAATTTCGAGCTTGGTGGTAAACATGGGTTTAACCAAATTCAAGCTTTAAAATAAAAACATAGGCTAATGTCTGTTAGATTAGATTAATGTCAATAGTGTAACGCATGATGTATCTCCAGGAGGGAAATTATGTGTTACAGCAGTACAATAAATAAACCTGAACAAGCTAAAAAAGAAAAAAACTATAGAATGAAAAAAGAAAAACTACCGTAAAACTTTTAATGAATAGCCAAGGCTTTTATTTCCTTCAATCACTGATCTAAGCAGCTTAGAACGCGAGGCGACCCGGTGGGCTTTAAGTTGTTTTATCGATCGATAAAGTCTAGACCAGGCTAAACACCATGTAGCCACACCAGGCTAGCAAATGAGGCCTGCTTCTACTGACGTTCATAAATATGCTTTATGTGCACAAGGTAAGTGAGCAAGTACACTTTTATTTATAAAACACTTTTCGAAACAAAGTTACAAAGTGCTTCAGAGGATACAGATAAGGAAAAATAAATTACAGCCCCATTACAGGAAAGGGAGATGGAAATGGGGTTTGAGAAGTTTTTTTTTTAAAGCTGACTCAGCTGATGCAACAGAGGGGGGAAGAGAAGGATGTTTCAGAAGGATGGGGCCCTAATGGCAAAAGTATTTTGCACGTGTTGCAGGCGGGACAGGGTTGCTTCACTGAGACAGGAGAAATTAGGGTATAAATTAGTCATTTTAGGTCTCTGGTTGATTGCATTGATTAGGTTTTGTGTTACATATGCTGCATGTGCTTGTTTATGAATGGGTCAAAGTTCATAACATCTCATCCTGTAAAGATAAGATTCAGAAAAGACAGGATGAGAAAGTAGCTGCAGAGTGGACGCTAAAGAAGGAAGAACACTACTGCTTTTGAGGTTGAGCAGAAGACTAAAGTAAGGTGTCAAAAACAATGCAATTGTGGTCGCAAACAAAATCACACATAGAAAGTTTAAAGGGCGACGGAGTATGACCGTGGTCACGCATAGAACATGACACACGCTGAACAAGGTTAAAAGAGTTGATAATATTTCAACATTTGGTAGCAAGAGAACTGAGAAGTGGCCAATATACCAATGTGCAGACAGGATATTGTTATACCCCAGTTTATAAAGTGGGACTCGAGGTCAGACTGTAGCTGAGCTGTAATGAGATCATTATAGTTCCTACATGCACCATAAGATTTAGCCAATGCTCTGCTGGTTGCATTAGAGCACCTACCACTTGAGGCAAAATGCAAAGAATTTCCACACAGTAACCATCTTTAGGGTCATCTTTAGAGCCGAATAGGGTTAAAGGTCCAGTGTGTAACAGGAGGCTCAACTGGGAAAAATGGAAAATAATATTTATTGGTATGTTTTCATTTTATTTTAACAGACGCTGCAGGTTACCTTCCATGGAGTTGGCCATGTTGAACTGCAATGTTTCTACAGTAGCCCAAAAGGGTCAAACCAAACACTGGGTCTAGATAGGGGCGTTCACCTTTACACATTTCGCAGCCACAGTAGTTTCTCCTTCGGGAAGGGTGAAATGAGGCAGTTGTAATCTGCAACTATGCCACTAAATCCTGCAAACTGGACCTTTAAACTGATTTATGCAGCCCACCCAAGGTTTTTAACAAGTAAATTAAAGCAACCACTTCAATATATGCTGACTACAATTGTCTGTTTTTCCTGCCATTTTAGCATATTCAGGTCAGTGTGTTCTGTTCAACAGTATTCTTTGATCACACTTCAGTAGTCATTTTGGTGTGGTTTTGGTAAAAGGTCAATAGTCAACAACTTGTAAACAAACTATAGGCCTGATAGTGACTTACATAATTCTATACTACTCAAAAAAACTGCCTACAAACTAAAACTCAATTCATTTTACACCCCTTTTAAATTACAACATATCCTCACTCAGTTTGTTTTCAGAAACCAGTAGACCAAACAGAATTTATTTAAATCATAGGCCTGACTCTTAGATGTCTTATTAAATTAGGTTGGTTTGACACTCTACTCTTCTGAGAAGAGTTGAAGTTCCTTTTGAGGTTTGTGACTTCCTATTACCATACTTAGACGCCCATGAGCATACATACAGTAACGTAACATGACAGAGACCTCATTAAGCTTGGCAGAGACAGAGGAACAGGTGAGTGATTTAGTGGAGAGGGTCTGCTTGTTTGCATAAGGGGTTTAGCACAAGGGATAAGTTAAAGACCATTCTTTTCACATGTGTTAGAGTCAGTATCTTGCAATGCGACTGATAAATCTACTAGTGTAATTTCTTAATTTATTACAGCTTTTAAAATCAAATGAATGTGCATTGGTCTGTTAGCAAAGTGATTTTAAGACGGCAGACTTTAACAAAAATTCTATCTGCTGTCTTTTTTTATGCTTCTGCAGAGTTTGCATCAACAGCCAAGTTGTAACCACAAATGGCCAGGCGATTGGTCTAGCTATAATTTTTTTCTCTCAGAGCTGAGAACGAGTGATATGTATTCAGCATTACACTTTTTTTCAAAAGTCAACACCTACGTTGTTAGTGCATTTAGCGTTTTTTTTTTTGGTTTTTTTTTAGAGATATTTGATTTCCGTTTTTTACATCTGTTATGAAGTTTCATGTGTAGTTTTATGTGATATATAAAACTTACTTGCATTATCAAATGTTACACAAGTGACCTTGAAAAGAATATGTAGAGGATGTGGGAAATTAGAAAGATAAGAACGCACAGAAATAGAGTGGCACTACAAAAACTGAAAAGAGATGAATGCATTTCGTCTTCAGCAGGAGAACTGCTTTGGTGAATTGGAGTGTTACAGTTAAACACTTTTTATTTGTTTTGTAAGGGTATATACAGTAATGGTTGTTTCCATCTTTTCTCTGGAAAATCAGAATAGGTACCACTTTGTAACAAGGCATAAAAATGTTTAAAATTGTAATTAATCGTGTTTTTATGATTTGGTTGTATGGTATGGATTTGACAAATCATTTATTAATGCCTTATAGCCAAGTAGTAATCCATTAATAAGATCAACATCTGGGTTGCCAGGTTGTGAAATTGTATAGGTAGTGCAAAAGCTTTTTTTTAAAAGGAAACACACATGCAGATAATTTGCATGCACAAACTTGAGTCAGCTGTGAAACAACCCACACATTCCCAGCACCTCTGCTGTATTTCTTGTACTGTTATAGATATAAACAATGGTGTTTGTGAAGTTTGGGAAACTGTATTTTAGTGTAAAAGGCAACTTTTGCATTTGCAATTGAAACTGTAAATTGAGTTTTACAGAGCGAGCTAAATGGCTCACTGGAGAATACATAAGTAAGCTCCTAGAGCTAAAAGTTTAATTTTAATTTTTTTTACATTTTCAAAACCGATCCTGTCACTTAGCATTGTAAATTGCCTGTTTAGCTTGACATGTTCTAATCTCTGTTGTAGATATCAGCAGTTTAAGTTAAAGGACATCAGCTGAGTACGACATCAAGACGATTTTCCTCCAAGATGTTCTGTTCTGTCAGCATGAAGGTGAATATCAGCAGTATCCCATCAAACCAAACAGCCAAGATGACTTCTTTGAGTTATTTTACCATTTCCCTCCATGGAATATTCTCTACCATCGGCATCATAGAAAACCTCCTCATCCTCGGAGTAGTGGGCTTACATGTCCGCCGCTCTGTCATCAGCATCTGGATCCTGAACCTCGCAGCCTCTGACATGCTGGCCACCTGTAGCCTTCCCTTTTTTACCCTCTACATGGCCCGCGGTAACACCTGGACTCTGGGAAACACCTTCTGTCGCATCCATTCCTCCATCTTCTTTCTCAACATGTTTGTCAGTGGCTTCCTGCTGGCGGCCATTTCTCTCGACCGCTGCCTGGTGGTGCTGAAACCTGTCTGGGCCCAGAACTACAGGAACACTCAGCTGGTAGGGAGGATTTGTGGGGTGATTTGGGCGTTGGCTGTGGTCTTCACTATCCCCTTCTACATATTCCGTGACACCATTATCCTACCTGACGGCAAGATCCTGTGTTACTATAATTATGCTCAGTTTCTCCCCAGTGAGCCCTATGACTTGGGATCTTTGTGTAAGCACCGCAAGGAGGCCTTGGCCTTCATGAAGCTCTTTCTAGCCTTCCTGATCCCTTTACTTGTCATCATGCTCAGCTATGCTGCTGTGAATGCTCGCTTGGCGCGGAGAGGCTGTCGACGCCCTTTCCGCTTTGTTCGACTCGTAATGGCCGTGGTGGTGACCTTTATACTCTGCTGGGCTCCATACCACTTATTCATCATCATAGAGGTGATGGCTTCCACTGGGAGTTCTGCACAGAAACTGGCAGGCAGGGCCCTCCCGATTGCGGCAACCATTGGCTTCCTTAACAGCGTCCTTAACCCCATTCTGTATGTGTTCAGCTGCCCTGATCTTTGCCATAAGATAAGACATTCTCTGGGTGCGGTGATGGAGAGTGTTCTGGCTGAGGACCTGGCAGAGCTCCGACGCCGAAGCACCGCTCGCAGCTCTATCAGTACCAGTGAGATGGTGTTGAAACCGAAGAATTCTATTACAAACACGACTCTGAACACAGAAGTGCAAGAGCATGATTAAATTCTTGTTAACCTTGCTCAGAACTGAGCAAAAAGGTATCGTAAATTCTCTAATATGGCCAGGCTGCACAGAGATCCAGCCTTTATTTGAAAAGGGCCCCCTGTTATTATGACCATTACTGAATCCTGGCTTTTTATTTTACAATTTATGGTACTTAAAAGGTCTCAACCAAGTGTTTGCCAAGTGTGTTAGTTGATCAATATCACAGTAGCATCATTTTTTTATATTCCCAAGAACATTCAAGGGTTTAATCATCTTTACTATACAGTGTGTACTGATAACTTAACCTCCAAATTAAGTACATGAAGTGCATGAAAACAAACAAAAAGCAAAAAAAATAAATAAAAAGCAAGAAATATTGTCTTGTCTTAATATGACTTGGATGCTCAATTGATGTGTACATTTGATTGAATGACTCATACATTATTGCTTCTTTACAGTTTGTTGCTTTGTGAAAAAGACTTTTGGTGTCTCTCACTAGATGTTGCCAGTAGCCGTAGAAGCTGACACAAGCACATTTTTGGAGATACAGTTTGCGCTTGCTATAGATTAGCCCATTGTGCTCATAATAGAGAATAGATGTCAGTCATGAAAGTTAAATTGTGTATCTGCTTCTTCCATGCAATGTAATGTATATACTTTTTAATGCTGTTGAATTTCTAAACATTAATAAACAGAAAGAAAAGCACATGCAGTATGACACGTACCTTGCAAATAACCACATTCTTGCATTTCCGTAGTGATGCACATCAGTCCTATTTTTAGAAGGACTTACAGCAAACAAGTGATTAAACAGGAGTTTTAATCATTGTTGTAAACATAACAGTAAAAAATAGTTTGACTGTGAAATGTCAACAGGGGCTCATTTTCATACACTGGTTACACTCTTCAAAAACACACATACAAAAACCATGTAGTAAATAGATGAATTAGATAAATTGGATTTCACTTCACAGAAAATGACATTTCCATATTTCTACTCCATGATATAGTGTTGATTTCATGTAGGCAACAGTTAAAGTCTTTACACTGTGTGCTACACACAAATGTTTCTATTTCCGCCCTTCTCTGAAGCAGTATTTATATCATCATGAGAAACTAAAAACTCAACTCGTGAAATAATTTTAGCTCAGGAGGTTGAAACACAGATTGATTTACTTAGAGATGAAACTCACATGACACAGAAACTGTACACGTGCATTTCCACTGGGTGGCACAAGTGCCTTGACTAAATATTAGGAGTCAGGTCTGTGGTCAAATCCAAGTTATACTGCTAGAAGATTATTGTGTCCAGTTTCACTCTCCCTCTGCCTGTTTGGGTGAGATCTGGTACTGAGGGTGATCTTTTTGCAGGTGTTTTGACCCCTTCCCAAACAGGGCAGGGACCTTTGCAGCTCTAGCCGGGCATCAGGGCACAAGAAGATGTAGAAGAGGGGATCCAGCAGGGTGTTGAGGCTGGTCAGACCGTAGCACAGTCGATAGATGAGGAAAATGGAACGCTCCAGTCCACACGGCTCATCAGTCAGCAGCAAGGACACAAATCTGTACCCGCCCACGAGGTGATAGGGTCCAAAAACAACAATAAAGTTGACAGTGATCACGACTAGGATGCCCACGATTTTGTGCCGCTCGTGGTCAGAGAGGGAGGGAGATCGTCGGAGTGTCAATCCAATGTGGGCTGAGGTGTAGCTAAGGAAGGAAGTAGAAGTAAAGGTGAGAACCAATCATGAGAATATATAAAATGGTATGGTATTTGCCCTAAGGACAGGAAAATGAGAGGTTTCCTTTGTTAAACTGTAACACATCAAGATAGCTCAATATCAGGGGGGTTTCCTGGATGTTTTGTACATTCACTCTATGTTTTCAGTTTTGTCCCCATAGGTTATATTGTATTATTTCAACTTGAGGTTGGAAAATAACCTGCTTCCCTTTTTCTGTCCCACAAATTTGACCAATTTAATTATTTAGACATGAATGAACTTCTTGTGCATTAGGATGACGGATTTGAGCACAGAACCTTTACATGAACAGATTTGAACATAATATTACATTGGGATATTTCAGGTTAACTCACCCTAGTATGGCACATGGCAGCAGAAAGCCGAGGGCCACGGTAGTGATCTTGAAGTGGGCGTATCTAGGGCTGACGGGGTACTGCTCGAGACACAGCAGTCTGTCAGAGTCAAACACTGAAGGAAGCAAACCACTCAGGCAGAACAGAAAGGTGAGTGTCCAAACTGCAACACCGGACAAAGCTGCCACCCTGACAGTCCGCACGCTGCGGCTGCTCAGCGGGTACACGATGGCTAGGCAGCGGTCTAGCGCTATCAGGCACAGGAACATAACACTGGCGTAGACATTTACATAAAACACGTAGCCCACCAGCTCGCAGGTTAGCTGGCCATAGGGCCAGCGGTGCGCACCTTGGAGATAAAGTATCCACAGCGGCAAGGTGAGTAGCTGGAGGAGGTCTGACAGCAGGAGGTTGAGGATGTAGACCAGCTGGCAGCCTCCCCCACCTGAGCGGCCCAGGTGGTACAATCCCCAGAGAGACAGAAGGTTGCTGGGGAGACCCAAAGAGAAGATCAGCCCATAGATGCACGTCAGGCCAAATGTGTCCGTGTCTAAGGGTAGGTTGCAGCTGTCATTGGACATGTCTCTGTTGGTCAAGCACCTGACATGGAAAACTAGAGGTGACCTTGCTCAGGATGAAGAGTTGGTGTAGAAAAACCCATTCATACACTCAAAGCACAAGAAAAGGTAACAAGTCTTAGCTGTTATCAGTTTGATACATCCACTTGTCATTTGTCCATTGTGAAATATTCATCAGTGCATTCTCCTGTGGAAAACAGTAGGCTCAGATTTGGTGCTGGCAGTCAACCAGTCTTCAAAGCATCCAGGGTCCATCAGTAGAAACAAACACCTGCAAAGAGCATTCACAGATGGTTTAGTATCTGCAGGTGCATGAGCAGTTGAACCATATAAAATAAATCTTATAAAAAATACTTTTCACTCACCATTTAAGGCAGTTAGAGCGGCTTTATTCCACAAAAGCCTGTCTGCCGCCTGCTCTGCAGCTGGGTGACCTGTACTCAAGAAATGTTGGGAACACGGTGTCTCGACCAAGCCTTGTCTATTCTGTGATCGTTTCCTCCACAGGAAACCCACTTCTTCAGCTTTAAAGGCAACATCCTGAGGCAGGAGAACGCCTTTCTGGCCCAGAACAAAAACATACAGTCTCCCTTTCTCTCTGTCTCTCTTACTACAGCAGTAGACAGGAAGATTAAGGTGAACAGGGGCTGTGAGGGGAGGAACTGATGCAGGGTGCCCACTAATGCCCTTTAGATTGTCGATTGCTGGCTACGTGCCATTGAACGCATTAACCCTTAAGCTATGCTGTCTTTAAACATGCTTTTCAACACATTCGAGTGTTGTTTTTACCATGTAAGTATGCAGACTCCCTGAGGTTTCCCAACAAATTCTTTTTGATTTTGTGTGTGTTAGGGTTAGTGGTTGGGTTATGTTGAGGTGATTGTAATTGTAATTGTTATTGATGAGGTTACAGTATATGGTTTGTCTCCACAGCAATAAAAGTCAATGCAAGTGACAAAAACAAGAATTAGCGTGTGTGAGTGCATATCTACTTTGGCATCACAGAACAGGAGATGAAAGCCACAGAAAGTGAGACAAACAACCCTGCAGATAAAGCACACTTATTGCATAAAAGTAAAATTATAGAAATTGTAGACAGTGAATGTTTGAAATCTACTCAGGGTGAACTTTTCACAGGCACTACTGGGAGAAAAAAATCTTACACAATTGAAATTGTTTTGGGGAAGAATGGGTATGTTGAGACAATGGGTGTTAGGCAGTATTTTTACCACAGGGTTTCAAAGGGTGGAGGGTCGAAGTACACACGTTGTTTCCTTTCAAATGTCACCAATGTCTGATTTATTGAATAATCCAAGATTGAAACTAATAAATTTACCTGTCCCCTGAGACATTAGTACCACCCTATGCTCTCTGGAGATTTGCATTAAGGTCTCCATGCCCCTATGTAGACAGATATCAGCTGTAGTACACTGCATAGACAGCAAATCCGCTCCAAAGGGAAATGTCCCTGGAGTTGAGAGGCAGCATAATAAGTTGTTCCTGCAGCAGGCTGGCTGCACACTGCAGGAAGTTTTCAGATGGATTTTAATCTTGTCATGGAATAGGGAGCTGTACATACTGTGCAGACACAGAAAGAATGAGATGAAGCAGTTGCCACGTAAGCTTCACCAGCATTAACTCCAATAGGGAACACTGGGTAGCAGAAGGTCAAACTTTCAATTAATAAGCCTGGAACTT